CACGAAACAATGTTCTAGAGGTTGGCTAGAGGTTTTGCAAATTGTTTAAGGTGGTGTTAGTAGCTTATTTTCTGCTCTAAATTTTCTGCTTAAAGAATATAAAGAGGCCTTATTAAAATGCATGTTATAAATGTTTTTCTATATTATACAAGTGTTTTATATGCATAAAATACCTACCATTCGCATTTTAAGAATAAAAATACTTATAGCACACAAACACAATAGACGTCGGGAATTTTCGGTTCGATTCCCAGTGGCGCCGTTTTTGACGATGCCTTGGTTAATTAAATTAGTCTCCGCAAATTGGAAATGTCACATGCTCTCCTGCGATGTTTTTTCTCCATCTAAAATACATTACTGCTATCCTATTGGCTGATGAATTAGGAGACGTAGAGAGGGAGAACGTTTATCAAATTATTTTATCATCCTCTACTTAATTGAGGGGACAATCCTGAATATAAGGTTTTTTTCTGGAAAAAAGTAACTCTCCCAGATAATATATTAATAATTCATAGTGCTATTTATATTCTTAGAGAAAAAGATAAATAGAATATTAATGTTATTAATTTTGTCTTTATTCATAGATTTTAATATGCTTAGTTTATATCAGTTATCAAACGGTTCGTTATATAAATATTCAAATATGGTTTATTTGTATTTGAAAATCGGTGACTCGAAGTAACTTTAGAAAAATGCAAATTCTTAAGGTAGTAGAGATAAAGACACATCTCTTAAGAAAGAGAGATTGAGAATGAAGCCTCTTTATTAACTAGTTCATAGAAAGCTATACAAAGTTAAATATTTCCAATTTGAATGAATAAGATAAAATAATAATGAATATATATAAAGTGAAATACAATTATTTTTAAATAATTTCGTATTTTATAACTAGTTAGTTATTGGAAGACAGATATATTTATATATATTTTCTAACGGTAATGCCACACTTTTGAGTATAAATTGTAAAACATTAGAAAACATTCAGAGACTCAGGTCTATGTTCACTTATTTATGTATGAACATTTTTATGGAACTCAATCATAAAAAATAAAATCTTTATAATAAAAAAATTGCGTAGTTTTATGATTTTTTTATTTTATTTTTTTGTAAATTGAAAAATAAACAGGAGTTTACAGAACAGAAATAATGAAATTTACATAGGTATTATAGAGCAGTGCAGACATACATATAGGCAGAAATCTCCTGAACACTGGATGGGAAGTTTACACGAATTACATATATTGTGGAGCAACTCAGGTTTCGAACAAAGGGATTGACATTTACAGAGGTTAAGCATCTCGTAGAGCATCGCAAGCAGACAAACAGGTAGACAGAAGTTTCTAGAACAGAAGACAAGAAATGTATCCAAGTTAAAGACATCGTGGGACAGCGCAGACAAAGGATCCAGAGCAGAAAACAAGAAATGTATCCAAGTTGAATGCATCGTGATAAATCGCAGACAGATAGACAAAAGCTCCAGAAAAGAAAACAAGAAATGTACCCAAGTTAAATATATCGTGGAGCAGCGCAGAGAGATAGTCAAAGGATCCAGAACATAATGCAAGGAATTTACCCAAGTTAAAGACATCTTGAAAGAGCTCAGACAGATAGACAAAATGATATAGAACAGAAAAAAAATGTATCAAAGTTAAATACATCGTGATACAATGCAGAAAGATAGACAAACGGATCCAGAACAGAAGACAATAAATTTACCCAAGGTAAAGACATCGTGTAGAAGCGCAGACAGATAGACAAAAAGATTCAGAACATAATATGGGAATTTCATCTAAATTAAATTCATTGTTAAATAGCGTATAAAGATAGACAAAATAATCTAAAGAACAGAAGACAACACATTTACCCAAGTTAAAGACATCGTGGAGAAACACAGGCAAATATATAAAAACAAAAGGATCCAGAACATAATGCAAGAAGTTTATTAAAGTTGAATACATCGTGAAACAGCGCATAAAGATAGACAAAGAATCCAGAACAGAAGGCAAGAAATGTATTCAAGTTAAATACATCGTGGAACAGCGCATAGATATATACAAAATCATCCATAAGAGAAGACAACAAATTCACCCAAAGGTGGAGACATCGTGGAGAAACGCAGGAAAATATATATAGACAGATGGATCCAGAACACAATGCAAGAAATTTAATCGAGTTAAAGACATCGTGAAAAAGCGCAGACAGATAGACAAAACAATTCATAAAAGAAGACAAGAAATGTATCAAGTTAAAGACATCGTAGAACAGCGCAGAAGGATAGACAAAAGGATTCAGAACAGAAGGCAAGAAATGTATCAAGTTAAAGACATCGTGGAGCAGATAGACAGAAGGTTTCAGAAGAGACTTCATTGATCCAACCTACGAATCTCCCCCGAGGGACCCGAAGAAATCCTCCGATTTCATTTTTCAGCCGCTGCGAGTCTTATCTTGACACTCCACGGTCGATTGCCCCGGCACATTCTGCATACAACACCTTTATCTTAATTTGTTTCAAAGAAACACCTCCCCGCGCTTTTTATTCTCGCACCGTTTCTTTTTCCCGCCGTGTGGCTTTATCTCCCTCCAGGTTGTTTCTCCAGGTTCCTTTCTAACCACTTGTGTCGTCGATTTATACTCGTAGCAATATATGTTTGTAAAGGTAGAATACTCCATAAATATATCTTCAATTAAGAATAGAAATAGTTTGTTGTTGACATTAATAAGTTTTTTATAGAAGAACTCTAACTTGATCAAATTGACATGAAATAAAGTAAATAGAGCAGCTTCTTGATAATCAAGAAGCTCCTCTATTTACTTTATTTCATGTCAATTAATAAGTTGTAATACCTTGAAAAAGGTTGGCGTTCAGCTAACTGAAATATTGGTATATATATATATATTATAATCTAGAAACTCAAATATTCATATATTTTCAAAAATATTTATTTTATTTTTATTTATTGATTATTCTACTTTTGTTTATCATCGTTTTTAGAATGACTTTCAGTTTTGTTGTAAATATGTGTAGTTAACATATCTCTTTGAATCACTAATATAGGATTAACGTTATAAATTCTATATATTGTGAAAATACCTAATGCGTAATATTTCCTCAAGTAATTGAAAATAAAAGCTATTTGATGGTAAATAATAATCTTTTTTTTTATTACGACTGCACCTTCAACCCTTTATCTTATCGATTCTTTGTCTTATAACCTTCATCTAACAACGAACAAATTATTCATAACACATAATATATTTTGATTCAATATACGGTTTTTAATTAAATAGCAATATAGGTTAGCCCATTGTGGACATTATGTTTTAATAATAGATATAATTTTTTCGAGATGAAAATGTAAGCTTTATATGTCTATTGCTTTATTTAAAGGCCTTAACAAATAATTCCTTTATAATGCATGGTATAAAGGTAGAATAGCCCAATATCATATTAGATCCATGTATTCAATATCACAGCGGTATGATGGATCAAATTGACAAAACCTCTATGTAGGGGTTTCACCACTAAAAAGTAAATCCCTCCTGATATATTTTAATCGCAGAAAAGACAGTAAGAAAATATTTTATTTAATAAAAGAAACATCACACGCGCGCGCTATAAAACATATTTCTATATTTTATAAGAAAATTGTACTATAATAGGTAAGAAATAAAATTACTTGTATAATATAGTAGAGTTTATCCCATGCAATGTATAATAGAAATTTTATGAGACAACAAGAGTTGAAAACTCTTAATAATAAGATTGCATACCTATTATTAATATATTGTTATATTGTTTATTCCACAATAATATGTTAAAGACCAATAATATGTATACAACTTCCATTTCTATATGTCTCTAATTCATCATCAGTCGTTCATTTAGTAAGTTATTCCAGCTAAATATATTGGAATATTGGGGCGTACAAGTGGTATCTATAGAGAATAATGTCTTCTCCGCTCGGTTAGCCCTCATATACCCTGGCCGATGGAATCCCAAGTTCATTAAGGTTTTTTCCTCGCTAATTTAGTTTTAAGTAACTTGAAAAGTTTTCCCGAGCGATAGCTCAAACTAATTTTTAATGGCTTTTTAATTTAGAAAAGTCATCCACAAGTTTCATCCTATTTAGCATCACTCCTTCCAGCCATAAATAACTTATACCTTTATTTTGATTAATATATTTATCTTGCCTCTCATCTGTCAACCTTTTCATTTACTATTATTTCTAGGATTTCTAACAAATATATTTACTAGCAGTGTGTTCCTTTTCAATAATTTCACCACATATTATCTCTACAGACCTTACTGCAATAATATAAGTTATTGAATGAGAGGGCTTGGCTCTTATGCTGATGAGAGGTCTGTATAGATAATATTTGATGATATTATTGAAAAGAAACACATTGCCAGTAAATATATTTGTTACAAATTATCGATAGGTCACTATTAAATTTATAAATCATTTATAGGGTAAATTAGTAAACACACGTATATGATTATTTATAATTAGAGAAAAATATATTGAGAAAAATACTCAAACTTGAAAACTATACCTGATTTTTTCTATATTTTATCTTCACAAAATATATTTAAAAGAAAAGTATTTATTATACCAATTGAATTGAAGGATTTGTATTATACATTGTTCCTTATCTCAGGAGGTAAAACAAAATTTAGCAGCCTATCGCCGGAACAAGTTAAAACTATAAAAGCTTCTCTCTGAGCAGTCGGCTAATGAGAGCTTGTCTACTCATACTAAGATTTTGAGAGTTAGGCTGAATAAGCTGAGAATATCGTTATAAAATAAAACAGATTACTGAAACGTTATTTCATCGTTATGATTTCCACCCAGACAGTAAATAGCTGATTGTTATTTTCCATATTGATAATTTCCTCCATGGCTTGATTTTCATTTCCTGAATTCCGGGATAGGTCTATATAAGTTGAAATACAAATATTTTAATGACTATTATAAAATGGAAATTCTAAACTATTGCCTACGGCCATACCACATTGAAAACACCGGTTCTCGTCCGATCACCGAAGTTAAGCAACAGCCCCGTAAATAAAGATATTTCCATAGATAATTGAAATTTTACAGTTAATATTCACGAAGTCTTATCTAGGAGCATAACTATAAGGTTGGGTTAAAAACAACACAGTAATATATATGTGATTGGTGTCAATAGGTATTGTAACACCAGATTCAGCCACCTAACGACGTCAGAGATGACGGTGGATTAGATAAGAAAGAAGAGAGAAGAAGGAAAAAAAAGTGGAATAACCTTTGTATCTCAATGAAACACTCAATTTAAAATACAATATAACGCGGCTGATGATTGTAAAACGAAAATTGCAATTACACCGCGAATGTTTCTTTTAAACAAAAATCAATATTTATTTTAAAGAGAAATAGCGACTATTTCTAACTTTAAGGATGAAGTATGATAGGATGAATTGTGAAGAGTAATGACAAACGGAAAAATAAAAGTGTCCAGGGATGGGAATCGACAACACAGTTTTTGTCGATTTTTGTTTAAAAGAAACATTCGCGGTATAATTGCAATTTTCGTTTTACAATCATCAGCCGCGTTTTATATTGTATTTTAAATTACTTTATATAATATTTACGAACGGAAAAATATGTCCAGGATAGCCTAGTGGACATGGCATCTGCCCGGTAAGCGGAACACTGTGGGTTCGATTCCCATCCCTGGACACTTTTATTTTTCCGTTTGTCATTACTATTCACAATTCATCCTATCATACTTCATCCTTAAAGTTAGAAATAATCGCTATTTCTCTTTAAAATAAATTTCGATTTTTGTTTAAAAGAAACATTCGCGGTATAATTGCAATTTTCGTTTTACAAAACACTCAATTGTTGCTGATGATAGCTTGAGTTCAATACAGGTTGTCCTATTTTGCTTTAGTCTGTTGGTCTTTTCTTCATATTTTCTCTGAGTTTCAATTCTTTCTAAATGATATTTCGAACATTATATTATATTTTTATGAAACGAGAGAACAGTAATTGCATTTGAAAATTAGGTAACTCAACTACTTCTCTATTATACATTTACTCTTGTGCAAAGAGGACTTTTCACAATTTAAAAATATATTTTGGTCATCGGTTCTGTATAAACCTTACAGATTTAGAGGAAAGGTTAAGCGACAACACCAGCTTTTCTAAATTCTGAAGAATGCCTACATGTACATCATGGGCTATACGATTAGCCGTATCTTCATTGATAAGAGCCATATATAAATTTACCTACGTCTTTTATTTATAGATAATGAAAATTATGTAGATATTTATATTAAAATCTTATGGGGTGATTGTAGTGATCTTCTAACTACGACGATATTTTGAACAGTCTATAATCACTTTGGGTTTATTGGTATATTTGAAAATATTGTTGAAAGAGCCCAGGTTAAAATTAAAAAAAACACTTCGAAGAGTACATAATTGTATATTGTCAAGTTTAAAAACGACTAAGGATAAATATAAAACTGACATCGCAATTTAGTTTGATCAAAACCATTCAATCTTATTTATATATTTCATTTATTTAGAAAGTTATAGTTAACCTAGGATCTTGAAGCGTCTAGAAGTCATTTCTTATTTACATATAAATAAAAGTGAGCCACAAATAGAAAGTTGCTGAGTAACAAAATTAAATATATATATATATTTATATCCATTGTTAAAATATTAAAATGTGTTGGAATATCATTATAATTACTCATTTTGATGTTTTCTGAAATTGATTAAAGATTTTTTTTTGTTGTCGTGTCCAATGAAGATTCTCAGATGTCTCTATGCATCTCTATCACAGCAGTTACAATGTCCTCTATCTTAGATGTGTAAAGCTGCAGCTCTGGGTCCATGTCAAATTTTTGCAGGGCTGCGGCCATTGGAAAATGGGGGCATTTGTCACGTTAGTCACTTTGGAAACGGACTAGAATTTTCTCCAATAATCCAAGGGTACAAAAAGAAAAGCAGAGAGGTTTGGTCGGACATCTCCTCCCCAATTAATCCAATCATTTGGTAGAAAAAAATAAATGGTATAAATATGTTTACTGCCTGCACGGATATGATAACAAGAGTACACAAATTCTCAAAAGAAGTCGCACTTAATTTCAATTGGAAAGATCTTTTATTGGGACATCAATCCAATGATGCCGTGTAAAAGGTAACTCTAAATGTCAATAACCAACCTCATGGTATCTATATTACCGAAGTCAATGTATTTTGAATATTTCTCAACACCTATTTCATCTCATAATTATCATATTAACACCTACGCCTAATTAGAAAGACGTGGCCCATCAGTGGTGAATTCTATAAGCGGCCTCACCCATTCAATCCACCAGACCGACCTTTAATTGTATTTCAACACTTTTTTATTTTATATCAAAACACGAAAAGCATTATCCCCGCTAGGGATAATTGAATCAATTTACATTTTTGATCAGAAAAACACTTGTAAACTCATTATATAATTAAAATATAAATATTAATAATAAAAAAACCGATAAGATAGATTAGGAATCTGATCCTTTCAGGTTAGAAATTAATTCGTAAATATATTTACAAAAGCAATTAAATCTGTGAAAATTCTCTCTGGTATTTAAAATTCATATAGATCTACAACAATATTCACTGTCTGTTGTCTAGCGTTGATGAAGAGTGGGCATTCCAGCAGTAGGCGTCTCGAGTTCTGGATTTCCTTGTCACAGTGACAGCTAGAGTCCTCAACCACTCCAATTGTCGCCAAAATTTCCCTTAAATTTCCGTGGTTCGTTGTGAACTAGGTATTGTAAAGGTTAGAAGGAAAAATGATGGAATTCCATAAGGTAAAAAGCTCTGAGAGATGTTTCATTTGTTTTTTAAAATATATCATCCATTTTTGCACTTGAAGATTGATGAAGTTGATGAAGATTGATTATACTTGGAGCAGGTGTTCTAAAAGCATTTTGATCCTCTATAGTAAGTTGAGCCAAATCATATTTGACTATTTTAGATTCAATATAGTCTGTGAGAATGGGGATGTTCGTTAAACTATGGACACTGTTGGACGAAGTAGGTTTATAGGCTCTAATCGCCCAAAAAATAATTTGATATTGGGAAGAATTTAGTTTTTCTTTGCATCGACTATTGATAAATTTGTACCAAATTTCTTAACCATACGTAAGAACTGGTCTGATGATTGTTTTATACAGAATTACTCTTTTTTTTATTATTTATTCCCCACATTTTTCCACTAAGTTTAAACCGAACATTTTCCATTCTTACGATCCTGCACAAAATGTCGTTGATATGTGATGTAAAATTGATCTTATTTTTTATTCTATGATTTGAGAATTTTATACCTAAGATTTTAACTTGATCTACTGGGTTTAAATAATATTCGGTATTTATAAATTGAAACTTTAATTTTATTATGTAAGCAAATTAAATTCGTTTTCTCTGGGCTCATTGATAAGTTATTCCTATTACACCATTGAATTACATAACAAAGAATATTATTCCTCAACAATGATTGGACAATTTCGTCCATTTATTCGCCACTGAAGGATTTTATCCAATTTATGGTATGTAGGCAAACCCCAGACATCAGATCTCAGGACCTTTGTTGAAGCTCTAATTGGAGGTCATGTCGACTCAATTGGCGAAGTCATTGGAAGGGTTCACCACTGATGAGCCGAGCCCTCACAATATTTTTCATCGCAATAGAGACAGTAAATTAAAAATTGAATTTCCAGTAAAAAATTGTTACAAACTTCATCGATAGAGGGTAATTAATTTTCAAATTTAATTTACTAATATAAATTTGTTATAAAACCATATTTGCAGTGTAGCATCGATGCAATTCCTTGATATTATATGTATGTACCTTTACAGACCTATAAGGTTATGTCCATAGGTTCACTATACACCCCTAAGCTGCCTTCCAATTAAGATGCAGGCTATATAACAAAAATCCAATAAAATGCAATGGTTAAAACGGTCTAGAGAATAATTTGGCGAAACCACTGAGAGGGTTCATCACTAATCAACTAATCCCTCTCATTCAATAACTTATATCATTGCAGTAAGGTCTGTAGATATAATATTTGATGATATTATTAAAAATAAACATATTGCCAGTAAATTTGATTGTTACAAATTTTACGGTGTAGAGAATGTTTCATTTGTGAAAGGAACATTCGTACACTTGATAGTGATATTAGATATAGATTCCCGTTAGTGCCTTATGTTTTATATTTTTTTGATATATAATAGGGATGATTGCATTTATTTAATGTTCGCATATATTTCCATGTAAATTACTAATATATAAAAAATAATTTTTCTATTGTTCTTGCCACTATAATCTAAAAAAAATATCGATTAAATTGGAATATTCAACTCCAAAATTGAAAGCAATTTTAAATAATGATTTAATTGAAGGATTAATTCAATATTTAGACAACAGAAAAAGTGAATATATGTGATATCTTGGGACCTCTGAGACCAGTGTTACCTGATGCTGGACGAACCTCGATGTCAACTCTACCGTGCAGTCGTGGTGGAAGGCGACACAACTGGGCCAAAGGTGAAATAAACAAACAGAGATTCCACTAAGAAGTGTCTGAACGTCAAGAAGGAATGGGACGAGGAGATTTCTGGCAGGAAAGGGTTTACCTCTATCGGAGCGGCCTGCGCGGGCTGGAACTAAAAGACTGAAGACTGAGGCTTGGGGCCTCCTTTTATAGCGTCAATGGGTCCATGCAGGCCACTGCCCTTTTCTGACGTAAACGGGGGGGAAAGTTACATCATCCAGGAGAGCCACGACCTCGTAAAAATTGGACTGGGCTCGATAGGCCTACTTTCTTATTCTCATTTAGGCCTGATTAGTTTGACCTTAATTTTCTCCCGTTATTATCCATTCCTTCTAGCTGTACAGTTGCTATACTTTATTAGATTTTTACGCGGTACAGATTGAAGTTACTTGAGTCTTTCTATTTGCAGTAAATAACAAGTTATATACAGTTACGGGGTGAAACATGTGGTGGTAGATATCTGGATTATTTACAACAATTCCATGGTCTCAAATCATCACATA